GGTAGAACAAATATACTCTCAAGTCCTATCTGCCACTGATACGACTCTACTCACGCTTAGTGTTCGCTTTACGTAGAACAAGTATGAAACTAGAAGTACTTTGTAGGTGTTATTGGATAGGTTTGCAAGATAATAAAGAACACGTAAATAAAAGCTAGGGGTTGTTTAGATAAATAAGCAAGAAAGTAAATATAGTGAGTGTGGAAAAGTGGTGGTATGAGTTGTGAAATTGTCCCTAAGCAATTGACTACGTTACTAGACTGGTAATCACTATTGCAATTCTATTTGAGGGAGAGGCATAAGCTAACATACTTTCTCTTCTTGGATCATATGCACTTATGATTTGAACTCTAGCAAGCATCCGCAACTACTAAAGACCATTAAGGTAAAACCCAACCATAGCATTAAAGTATCAAGTCCCCTTTATCCCATACGCAAACAACCTACTTACTCGGGTATGTGCTTCTGTCACTCATGCCACCCACCATAAGAAAATCATAAACATACTGCAAACCCTACAGCGGGAATCCCTCACGCTTGCGCAACACGGAGGGCACAATAGGACAACACCAATAATAAAACATGTAATTCAAACCAATCATAGCAACTCATTAATCACCGATAGGACAACGAAAATCTACTCAGACATCATAGGATGGCAACACATCATTGGATAATAATATGAAGCATAAAGCACCATGTTCAAGTAGAGGGTACAGCGGGTTGCGGGAGAGTGGACCGCTGTAGATAGAAGGGGGAAGGTGATGGAGATGTTGGTGAATATGATGGAGGTGTTGGTGGAGATTGCGGTGATGATGATGGCCCCCGGCAGCGCTCCGGCGCCACCGGAAGCAAGGGGGAGAGAGCACCCCTTCTTCTTCTTCTTCCTTGACCTCCTCCCTAGATGGGAGAATGGTTTCCCCTCTGGTCCTTGGCTCCCATGGCGTGGGAGGGGCGAGAGCCCCTCCGAGATTGGATCTGTCTCTCTATCTCTCTCTGTTTCTGCGTTCTCAGATTCTGCCCCTTCACCGTTTTTTTATATCCGGAGATCCGTAACTCCGATTAGGGTGAATCTTTCACCCAGATCTTTCTCATAAAATTAGCTTTCTTGCAGCAAAATAAGAGCGTCAACCGCCTTACGGGGGGCCCATGAGAGTCCAGGGCACGCCTGCCTCCCTGGGGCGCGTCCCCCTGTCTCTTGGCCACCTCGGGCACCGTGTCGTGTTGATTTTACTTCCCAAAAATCACAAATATTCCAAAATAATTCTCCGTCCGTTTTTATCCCGTTTGGACTCCGTTTGATATGGGTTTTCTGCGAAACATAAAACATGCAACAAGCAGAAACTGGCACTGGGCACTGGATCAATATGTTAGTCCCAAAAATAATATAAAAAGTTGCCAAAAGTATATGAAAGTTAGATAATATTGGCATAGAACAATCAAAAATTATACATACGATGGAGACGTATCAGTGGTGTGTCGTACTAGGCTTGTGTTCAATTGATTCCACCATGATCTGACGACCAGATGACGGCGGACGGCACGGGGTGCTGACGACGGATGGGCATGTGGGGCTGCGGTGATGAGCTGGCCTTCTGCTTGTGTGGTGCCGACCGGCGACGCTGCGATCCTCTGTTGGTGGTGGTGATTTTGATCTGATCGGTTCGATGGTGGTGTTAGTAGATTGTTTTGTAGTGACTTCCTACAGAACCACATCGAGATCATCGAAAAGACTTTGGGAGGTTTTATTTCTTGATCTGGTGGATGACTTCAGTTGTAGACAAAAATTATGAACAGCGACTTAACGCGGAGAGATGGTTATGGAGTGGCGGCAGTCCAATTGTAGATGTTGGGATTGCGGAAAAGCGGTGGTGACAACACTGTTATTTCGATGTGCTGCGAGCACCCTATCTCGAGCTCCGAGGCGAAAGCCTGGTTAGACCTGAGTGGTTATACCTGGCAATGGCGACATTTTTTATGCCGTTACCTTGTTGGAGGCATTGTTCGGATATGCGTAGACTGATTCTTCAGGGTGAAAACTTTGATTCTGGCCTTTGTGGTTAGATTCGGTGACGGCGGCACTTGAATGTCCCTCCCTCCCTGAAGGCATTGTTGTCGAAGATCATTGTCATCCATGTGGTGTTTATGGTTAGTGCCACTATGGTCTCAGTTCTAGTTTGTTGATTGATGATCTGATCGCTTTGGGTTTTCTTCTTCTTTTTTCCTCGTCTACGCATAGTTTTTGTCTTATGACCTTGCTAGTTGCCGGTGTGTTTTCACATGTGGATTGGGTCGGTTGTGTGCGCCCTTATTATGTTGTGTTATGTATGCTTATTGTGTTATGTATCCTTTTGATGCTTCATTTTAAGCCAATAAAATCCACTCTTCGTCAAGAAAACATGCATTTTCTTGTGGGTTAGCACAGGCATCCTACTGTATCAAAAAAAAACAGGTTTTAAAATTGTATTTACCTTTTTTTTTTGAATTTTACTGTTCATACGAACGATGCATGTGAGTTGGAGACTATAAACTCAATGTCCCCAGCCTCTTTTTACGGTAGAATAGAAGAAAGAAAATGGAAAACGTTTGCAAACGGCGCACTGGCCGAAGCTTCGGCCGGTCCTGCACGCGCCGCTCGATCGGGCTGAATCCTGCGGCCCGTTTTTCACCTTTCTTGTGAAACGTTATCCGCTCACAGACGCAGCTTTCCATGCGGGCCACACACAACGCTGTTTTTTCCGTTGCAATCTTTCTTATCCCAACGCGAAGGGTGTGAGCCCACTCATTCGTTCTCCACGACGACTTTTCCTAGTCTTATTTTTCTCTCTATTCGCCAGAGTGCTGCCGCCTCCTCGTCTTGACTCATCTGTCTCCACGAACTCTCTCTTCCCTGACTCCACACCGTCAAGCCGGCCTGCGGCTCCACACGGCCCGAGCGAACCATCCCCTTCCTTCCCCTATTTCCACTTTAGAGCTCCACGACATCACCGGCCGTCGGCAATGGCTGCAACCAGTCACCCATCAACCTCCACCTTCTTTGCCAGCGGTCAACGGCGACGCTGCTTTTTCCCTATTTTTGCTGCAAAGGCGGCCATGTGGTGCTGGAAGGCCGGCCGTCGGAGCTGCGAGTAGACTCAATGCAAAGGGTGCTGCAACTGGCTACAGAGGAGCTACGACCGGCATGTGGCGGAGCTGCAACCAGTGTGCCAATTGCTACAGCCAATGGCATTTTTTGCTGGAACAGAGAAAGTAGGTGTTGTGACCGGCGCGTAGCGGAGCTTCAACCAGCTGCGCAAAATGCTACTACCGTCGCCATTTTTTGCTGGTACCAGAGGAAGTAAGGGTAGCGACCGGCGAGTGAAAGAGCTGCAACCAGCATCACAAAATGCTACGACCGGTGGTCGAGAAAGCTACAATTGGTTTCTAGGAAAGCTTCAATCAAAGATGGGGAAGCTAAGGGCCGGCCATTGCACACCACGAAAAGCTGCAACTGGCGACAAGAAAGCTACAACCGACTTCTGGAAAAGCTTCAATCAAAGACGGAAAAGCTAAGGATCGGCCATCGCGCACCACAAGAAGCTACAACCGGCGACGAGAAAGTTACAACTAGCTTTTGAAAAAGCTTCAACCAAAGACAGGAAGCTGACAATGGCGAGCGGCGACGACGGGGCTGTGTGGCGGAGCACGGAGGTGCTGCGACCTGTGCGCTACGACGGCGGCCGGTGGCGACGCTGAACGGCGGACCACCGAGGTGCTGCACGCGGCGAGATGTTGTCCAATGTTGTCCGCGAGCCGGCCGTTGATGGGGGCGACACAAAGGGTCTGCGGCAAGAGGCGCTCTACGTCGCTGACAACGGCGAGGTGACGTGTTGCTAGCAGGTCGGCACTCGCCGCGGACCTCGCGACCTGGCATCCGCGCGCATGCGCCACCAGCTAGCATCATATGTGTGAGGTGAAAACGTAGGACAGAGAAAGAGATGTTTGCGCGTCCGCCGGTCTAGCCTCAATCAAACGGCGCATAATAATCTAATCTAGTGGCTAGCATGCGACCGGCCGAGTATTTCGGCCGGCGCGCCCGCGCGTAGTACTGGCCAAAGAAAATTTGGTGTGGGGTGAGTGGATCTTGCACACACGCCCGTGAAGCGCCATACTACCACTGTCGCAATACTGCTTGAGAAAACCATGCCGGCCGAACCCCACAGGTCGGACGGACGCGCGGCAGGGGCAGCTCTCTCGGCTTTGCTTACACGCCGCCGAAGGTCCAGACTCAGAGGCTTGTTCCCACGCTGGACGTGGCAGCCGCGGCCTGCTGTGCCCACCGCCACCGCCTAAGCTCCCCCGTACCCCTTGACCCGGCGGCCTCTGCCACCCAGCACGGCACAATCACTCACTCTCTGCATCCTCCCCTCCCCTCTCCTCTGCGCCACCTTAGCCAAGCTCTCCTCCTTCCTTCCCCGCCCGCGCGCGCTCTCTCCTCGCCGGCGCCGCCCCGCGCCATGTCGTACAATAAGACCGCCTCCATCACCGCCGAGACCATAAACCCCAAGGTACCGTACCGTACCTGACGGACGCCTCCCCCCCTGCTCCTGGTGCTTGCCCTTCTTCACGTACGCCAAACCTGACTCGGTTCTCCATGTTTTTCTTTCTTCCTCACTCGCAGGTGAAGATCTTCGACTACGAGCCCTGCGGGGAGATCGCCAGGCACGCAGAGGTAACAGCAACAGTGCTGCCTGCGCTCACCCCCCGCCGTTCATCTGTCCATGTATGTATGTATGTATGTATGTATGTGTCGCAGTCCAGTCAGACTGTCTGTCTATCGACACAGCCAGTGGCAGTGGCCAGTGGGTTACCTCTGACATAGTAGTACCCGAGTGCACAAGCTAACTAAAGAAATGACTGCTGTAAACTGAAACTAAAGTAGCGCACAAGCCAACTAAAGAAATGACTTCTGTAAACTGAAACTAAGTGCTAGACTGCATTTTGCACTACAGCCAGTTCAGATGATGCATCCAACTTTGATCTTTGGTATCATCTGGCATTCCTGGCCCATAATAAATCTGCAAAAACACTGGTTTGACCGTACAAGTTTCCTATCGGCATATGCCGGTTTTCGTGTTATCCAGCGGTTGGCGCAGGAGATGGAGAAGAGCCCAGGTTCTCGCCCTTTTCCAGAGGTGCGTCTTTGTTTACATATATACTTATGTTCAATCCTGGCCAAAATCACTAATCGATGATGATGAGTTGCTTCCTTGCAGATAACATACTGCAACCTTGGGAACCCCCAGGCTCTCGGCCAGCGACCCATAACCTTCTTCCGTGAGGTTATAACCCTTAATCACACTCTCCAAAAAAAAAACTTAATCTGGGAGGCATTGCTGTCTTATGCCTCAAATATCATCATCTGCCTTCAGGTTCTTTCTCTGTGTGACAATCCAGCTCTCCTGCACAGGGATGAAACTCGTATGCTATTCAGGTTTGTTGGGCTTAAATAATACTGTACTACTAGCTCAGAGTCTGTTTACCCACCTCTCACAATTTTCTGTTCAAAAGAAAAGCAAATTCTTCAGCCATTGATGAGTTTGCTGTCAGTTCTAGCACAAAAGTTGCTAGTATCATGCACCATCTTGCTGTGACGATTTGATTCGTCGAAACCTGACCAGTGTTGTTTCAACCTGCTATTACAGCCCATGTGCCATAAATAGAGCGCGGAAGATTATTGAGTCCATGCCCGGCAGAAACTCTGGTGCATATACTAACAGTCAGGTATTACATTGGAATACCAAGATAATCTTACAATCAGCTGCATAAACTAGAGTCGTCTGATGTTTCGACTTTTGAGGCGATGCCGCATTAGTGCACCAGCACTCAGAAAGAGATCACCACTTAGTAGGACCAGTGCCCTGGCCTTGGTGTTGTCGTCTTGTCCGATGATGATAATATTTTTCCCATACTATTATTCTGCACCTCGTTGTTGTAAACTCCTCTAACATGATCAGGGAATCAGAAGTTTGCGGGAAGCAGTTGCAAATGGAATCGCTGCAAGAGATGGTTTTCCATCAAGACCAGAGGACATCTTTCTGACAGATGGAGCGAGTTCAGCCGTAATACTTTACATTCAACAGCTCGATCACATCAATGCATTTCGTCTATCTCGATATGCTAAATTGGGCTGCATTTTTCATTTCTTCCTTCCAGATTAATTTGAGTATGCAGATACTCATTAGGTCCCAAGAAGATGGCATTCTATGCCCTTTACCTGAATATCCGTTATACTCGGCGTCCATTATACTTCATGGTGGGACTATGGTATGGTGCTAGCTTTATGAAATAATTGATCAGCGGTCGCAATTCTTCAGTACTTTTTTTTTCATTGCATCTCAAACCTATAGATCAGATTCCTGACATTTTTTACTTAAAAAGTGTAAAGGACTGCTCATTTTATTACATGCAAGAAACGACCAAGTTACTAAATTTGGTTTGTAGGTACCATACAATCTTAGTGAGGACGGTGATTGGGGGCTTGAGATCTTCGAAGTAAAGAGGTGCTTGGAGGAGGCACGCATCGCAGGTTTGACTGTTCGGGCTATGGTGATCATAAACCCCGGAAATCCGACGGGACAGGCACGCAAACAGATATTTATGTACCTTGCAATACCATAAATGTGAATGGGATAAAACAAAACAAAAAATCTAGAAGGTTCCCTAAATTAATGCTGAAACTCAACATCTGCAAGCTCTGCTGTAGGTACTGTCTATCACCAACCAGGAGGAGATAGTAGAATTTTGTCGGAAAGAAGGTTTGGTTATGCTTGCCGATGAGGTTTGCACTTGGTGAGCTGCAGTAGTTTTGTGACGCGGACGCGTGTGTAGACATCCTACATTTGTGTAAATGTATTTACAGGTATACCAAGATAACGTCTATGTGGAGGATAAGAAATTCCATTCTTTCAAGAAAGTAGCCAGATCACTTGGGTATGACGAGAATGACATCTCCATAGTGTCATTTCACTCGGTCTCGATGGGTAAACCGCTGTTCATCAGAAACATAGTTCATAGCCTCTGGAAAATAAGCCTTAGAGCAGATGGTTATTTTTTCATCATCTGAACTTGACAGGGTTCTCTGGAGAATGTGGCAGAAGGGGAGGCTACATGGAGATATGTGGTTTTGGAGATGATGTGATGGGTGAGATTCGCAAAGTGGCTTCTGTGACTCTTTGCCCCAACACAAGTGGTCAAATTCTTACTAGCCTTGCTATGGATCCACCGAAGGTTCGTTCGTCCTGCCTTTCTTGTGTTTGTGATAATTTATTTTAATTACTACAACCTCCGTCCCAAATTACTTGTCTTAGATTTATCTAGATACGGATGTATCTAGACACTAAAACATGTTAGATACATCCATATCTAGAGAAATCTAAGACGAGTAATTCGGGGTGGAGGGAGTATATCTTATCTTATCCTGAAAGCATTGTAAAGCTGCCATCCTTTATCGGTAATGCTAGCTGGTCAAACGTTCGCTGGGAAGGAACTTCCAGTGAATGCCCTCGCAGTCGTTTGATCGAGATCAAACAATGACAGTTTTTTGAAAAAAATGCCTTTTCTAGGAAGGAATTGTCATACTAGTCCGAAGAAATTGCTGCCCCCATATAACTAAAATTGCCATGGAAATCGTTCGCAATGTCGTCCTCCCCAGCGAACCTTCGCCAGCTATTGAAGTCCTTACATGATAGTACCCAAATAATTATTTTCAGCAAAAAAAATCCTTATTGACTTTTGCTGCAAGTTTCTTGGGCCGTTTTTATTAGGGTATTATTGATGTAATTGTTCCCACCATTGGCATACTTGTAATCAAAATTGATTTGATGCAGCTTTGATGAGATCTTCGTTCTGCTTTTTAGATAAGAGGTTTTTGTGTCCTTTGCAATATTTGTTGCCCCTTAACACTTACTGCCTCAATTTTCTCACAGAATAGACAACCCCCCACCTTGAAAAGAATAGATATGCATGTGTTTGTTTTTACCAAACTCATCTTGATATTTGCAGCTGGGAGATGGTTGTTTTGAGGATTTTATGGCTGAAAAGGAAGACATCCGTTTATCTCTCGCCAAGCGCGCCAAGGTATCCTCCTACGTACATGTTGTCAACCAGCACGCCATCTTTCTTCTTCCTCCTCTATGAGAGGAATGATGAAATGACTCAGTGAGACAAGTCTTGCATACCTTGTACTGATAAATACCATGTGGCTGGCCCTCATGTGGTCTTCACAGACCTTGGCGAGCGCATTCAGCAGCCTGGAGGGAATGACCTGCAACAAAGTAGAAGGTGCAATCTACGCCTTCCCACGGATCCACCTCCCTGCAGCGGCGATCAAAGCCGCCAAGGCCGAGGGCATGTCTCCAGACATGTTCTACGCGTGCCGCCTTCTCAACGCCACCGGGATCGCCGTTGTCCCTGGCTCTGGATTCCACCAGGTCAGTCCTTTTTTTGTTTTATTATTTATCAGGACTGCATCTGTAAGGGAAAAAAAATATAAGGAAGATGGTGTTGTCTAGTACTTGAAGTTGTTTCCATGCACATGCATATGTTACAAGATATTATTAGTTGCCTGACTGTGGTGGCCTTTGATCTTGTTGCAAACGACTTCCATGGACGCATCAAAGGTGTCTGGGCGCAACAAGGCCACCGGGACATGGCATATCCGGTGCACGATCCTCCCCGGCGAGGACAAGATCAAGGCGATGATCCCGCGCCTCAAGGAGTTCCACGAGTCCTTCATGAACGAGTTCCGCAACCGAAGCTGATGCGCACTTTCACCTACACAAGCCACAGGCCGGTCAGAGCTCCGAAGGTGTGATCTTCACTACCTTGTAAATTAAACCTGTGTTGTACTGCCAATAAATAAACTTTCACTACCCTGTAAATTAAGCCTGTGTTGTACTACCAATAAATAAACTTTGGCAGCTGTGTGTTCGTCCTTCCCTGTAAATTAAGCCTGTGTTGCTGTAACACATTTTGGCTCTGCAAAGTGCAAGCCTGGTATATGTAGCTGCCTGTCTCATTGCCGTGATGATCATAGTCATAGTGCAACGAAACTGGCAGTTCAATGTACACTGATTCTGCACCTCAATTCACGACATCCAACATTCAGAGGATCCGAATTCCGAGACGACTAGAGCGAGCAAAGGACAACACAAGCAGTCTGGCGATGGAAACCGGGGATACAGATTAACTTATATCAACCGGTGCTTACACTGAATCTGGCCAACTACAGCAGTAAGTAGCCTCCCTGTGTTGTCGGTTGTTACATGCTATAAAAGACTTGAGCTCCTACACTGAACCAAATTAATGGGATAATACAGATCAACACTACAAAAGCCTCCCCCCTCTATCAGGCCTATACCCTACCACCGACGCATCACCCCGAAACCTAGGGCAGAGAGGCGAAAAACAGGAAAAGCAAGAAAAGAAGAGGATTAAACATTCCGTGATACAGGCAGCACGGTATTCGCAAACCCATTGGCTACTTTCTGGGGCGGAGGAGGCTTCTTCTTGTAATTCGCTATACTACAATGCGGGCAGATGTATTCCAACCCATCTGTTTTCGCGTAATCCTGCAAGGAAGAAGAGTGATCGTTAGACGAGTTATCATGGAGAGGGGGTGGGGATGGTACAGGACAAGTTTTTACCTTGAAAGTGCCCAGCCCTTGCCGTCTATCACAGCCGAAATGAGCCCATTCGCCGCATAAACCGCAGTTCACCCAATCTCCAGGAGCGCTACTGAAATTATTATGTACAAAGATGGTGTTAGGTTTCACAGTGACAAACTTGAAATCCAAAGCAAACATAATGGCAGAAAGGATCGGACCTGTGACAAAGCAAACAGCATTCCCCATCCACGTCATCATGTGATAGCTCATATTCCAGCAAGTAAGTCTCGTAGTGTCTTTTCAGTGTGTTCCCAACACCCTAAATATAGCAAAATTAGAACGCGTTCAGCATTTCACTCGACCAGCAGCAGTAAAGCTAACTTGCTATGAAGGGAGCTAATAGAAGTGATCATGAAATTTCAGAGAAAAAATGAAGGTAGCAATTAATTGTTATCATGGAGACCAGATCAAAACTAAGCTAACACATGTTCAAAATTGAAATGGAAAAATACTTCTAGAAATGGCCGACAAGGTTGTTCCCTTGAACTTCAGCATTGATAGCTAAAGGATATAACAAAATGCAATAATAATTCTATCTAAGCGAAGTGAATAGTGGATACGTACAGTCATTCTATTTGTTACAGTGTGGTTTCGCATCTTCGAAAAGACTTGACCCTTCCAGTTTATACCATTGCCCACATAAAAGCCACCCCTGGACACCACCTGAAAAAACAAAAAACCTTTGTTAGGGAACAATGATTAACAAAATGCACATTTATTTGCACCTCTTTAATCATTAGAGTACACTGTAAGCAGAAGTGCAGAATTACCTCTTTGTACAAGTTATAGAGATCAAGGCGCTTTGCATTAAGGACTGCATCAGGAAATTCAGCTAGACCTCCATGAGGAACGAGTCGATGGTGGCCCCTCTGAATTAAAAATTGCATGACATCCTTCAGAAAGTCCTCCTGCAAAAGGTCAAAGAACAGACCCATTATTCTAGCTTGGTGTAGTGGTCTTAGTATAGAGACATTTCGTTCTCATCAAGCTCAAAGAAGCATACCTCGGAGCACACTTGGATAGGCAACCGATCACACCCATGTTTCTTCATGGGAAGAGGATTCAGCTGAATGATCGATTGAGCATGAGATGGCCCTGAAGTTGATTTCCTATGCGCTGCTGTAGAAGCAGGTGCTGAATTATGGTGCTTCACAGGTGGAGCAACTGGCAAGTTTGGCTTGGCCTGACTAGTTTCGTGAACGTTAGCTTCAGGGAAACCCATAAAAGGGTGCATTTGCTGCTGTCGAGAGTGAGGAATAGGCCTCATAGTTGCAGGCTTCAATTTTCCCTTGAAGGATGTCAGTGAGGAAGGCCCTTCAACTGGAGCTTTCCTGTCCTCTGAAGTTCCATTCACACCAAACAAATTTGATTTTGATTCTGAACCCGTCTTTGCTCTGTCCTTGGTAAGGGAGGCTGACCATCTTGGCAGATGAAAATATGGGCCACTTTCACCGGCTGAATCTTTCCGTTGACCGGTGCAGAAGAAAAGAAGGCGGTCTGCATCTTGTCTCTCGAATGAAGCAACAGGAGTAGCATTTACGCAACCAACTCCAAGTGCAACTAGGCTCCTATATGAAATTTCTGGTGCTAGATGCTTCAAAACCTAAATTCCAGAAAATAATGTTGAGTCATCAGATATAGACGAAAATTGATTCATATGTAAACAACTCAGGCGTGAGGCATAAAAAAAAGGTCATAAGGAGTCCACATAATAGGAGCATTAGAAGTAGCAAACTGAATCACATGCATAGACAATACGAATAGAAGTAACCAAGCGATGACAGATAATGCACACATCAGCACACCATAGAATTCAAATCTGTTGCATATCTGTTGCATTCAATCTATTAAACCAACCTGTGCTGCCCACTTAGGAAGGGTCATCCAGACTTCAAAGGTAGAAGCACCACAAGCTGTGGACAGAGAAGTGAAAGGCTCGGTCGATGAGAGCTTATCCTCGCTGTTCGGTAGAGCACGGACTAGCTGGCTCTTCTCGATGAGTTCATTTTTTATATGGCTTTCTAGAAGCTGCAGACATAGTAAGCACCGTATGGGTTTGTGTGGTCAAGTCAAGAAAGTCTCAAGTATGGGATAATCTGTACCTGGTCATCAAAACAAGTTTGTGCACTCCCAGAAACAAGAAGTGACACATGAGAAGAACTGCAAGTAGTCATATCACAACGCATGGTAACCATTCCACGTGGTACAGACGCTGCTTCAAGAGGCGGTGGAGAAGCACTGCCACATATGAGAACACCCAATCAGTTTCTGCTTTACCCACAAAGGAATCTTTGACGAAGATAAAGTTGGCAGCAGAAAAAAAAAACTGCAGATGGAAAGACTTCTTGCACAGGGTGACCCCAATATTTACAAAGGAACTAGTACACATGTACTTTTAGTTAGCAACTCTACCAACAAAGGCTCACCGATTCATTTTAATAATAATCTACTTGTCCCCTCCCTCTCTTTCATTTAGTAAGAACAATAAGCAACAATAGTAGAGCTAGCTGAGAATACATAATGTATAGCAAATAAACTTGACTCAGCACTCTACAGGAAGGTTATCAAGTAAGAATTCTCAACCCCAACAGACAGAAAATCAACACACCTGATTCGGTTCTGAAGTTTACTCCCACGAATCTGTCCAAAACAGAATCAAACGTTACATAGAGATATTAATAATACATATGAAAAGTATAGTGAAACAAACAGAATTACAGACGTGGCACAAAGATTGATAGATAAAGAGTTAGCTGAACAAATCCTGGAGCATCTAAGATTAGCACATTTGTTTTATTTGGTCCCTTGTTTTATTTGTGCATCCATGTGTTTACCGACAAGTAGTAAAAGAAATAGCTAAATAGTACGGTGTTTTTGGATGTGTGTTGATCATAACATCAAAATGTAATCTGGTTTTGCCGCTTCACATATAAGACAAAAGGATGCATCTTCTTACTAGTCTTGTTGTTTTGTGTACAAATTGAATGAACTCAAGCTGCGTATCTAGTATTTCATTTACGTGCAGTGTTTGGTGCCGCACATCATGATGGATTTTATTTTTATGTAGTCCTTGCTTGTAACCATTGTCCAGTGAGGAGTGTAGCTTCTTCTGGCTCTTGAAACAAGAGCATAAATGTTTTGAGCAAGAGTGTAAATGTGATAACATCCATGTAATTGAGAAAACAGATTTGACAAAATGTAACCTAGTCAAATCATATTTCTGTAAACAAGATTCCTTAGATTGTCATGAAGGTTGTTGTTAGAATTGTAATACCACGTTTTTTTTTCCTTTAGCAAATAGTTGAACATTTGTTCCATGACTCAGAAATCATGTTTATTCCATACATAAGGACGTGGAGGATAAGAAGTATTGTTGAACTACAATGCTTTACTCCATACTTCGATATTTAGAAGAGCATTCAGACCATCTTCTAATGAGCCCAGCAAACAAGAGTCCTGCACAAGAATAGAGATGAAATTAAGACATAGTTGAATCGAGTAACAAACAATATGCAAGAGATGTGGATAATCCGTACGTCTAATATATCGAAGCTTACCAGCGTGCTTGGTACTCCGCAGAGAAGAAATTTCATGTTGATGTCATCATCATATATTTTTATAGCTGGGGAAACTTCAGAAGAAGAACCCTCTTCCTCAGCCATTTCATTCTCGGGGGTGACTACATTTACCTTTGGAGCATCCCCAAGTAGACGAGGGCCGAGTTTAACACTTTGAACATGGTTGTTTCTTACACAGTATAGTCGAAAGGATGCATGAGCAAGCTGAAAGGAATCCCATGTATGGCTCACCGAACTATATTCAAGCATAAACAGATTGTTACATGTCTTGTTACATGTCATTGACATATGATGCTAATGAAAGGTGAAAAGGGGATGGCAGTACCTTTGAACTACCGACAACAATGCATTGCGAAAATGGGATGCTGCATAAGATGAAAATGAATTTCTCCAGTATATTACATATGGAATACCCTGAAATGAAACAACCAGCATTAATGATTTAGCAAATTACAATATTGTATAACTAAAATAAAGTGAACTTCTTTTGTGAAACTTAAGACAGGTTACTAGATACTTCTGTGCGCAACCTTTCCAACTACACTCAGAGAAATGGACAATGGGACTCTAGTTGCTTGGGCAAAATATTGCAAAGACTAATGTGTCTACCTTTGAGTGAACTGCTTGGGCAAGTTTTTCACCAATAGGAACCTCCAGATAAACCTGTGTTATAACCAAGCCGCAGTGTTAACATCACCCACACACAGACAAAAAGAATCAAGAGAATCTGATACAGACTACAGTAGCACAAGGCAAAGAAAATCCAATGCAGTATGGAGAGGAAATCTGCCTGTGAAAACATAATAGCTAATATGTACATCATGCAATGAAATGGAGAAGACATTAGCTACCCTAGTGGCATGGGTAGTCTTAGACAAACTGTCTTATTGCAGTTATGGAACTAGAATCGACAACAACAACAACAACAAAGCCTTTCAGTCCCAAACAAGTTGGGATAGATTAGTCATGGAATTAGAATGTTAACTCCAAAACATGTCAGCGAGTATCATGCAACTAGGAACTCAATTCCATCAACAGCTAACAGCACTGCAACTTGAACTTGCCGCCACCAGTCAACCACGGAATAAATAGCATTGCAGACAGTTGAGAGAAAATTTCTGCGCTTACAATTGTTGGGAACGGCGGGCTGATGAGACAGACAAACGACTGCGGGTCAGACATGTCGGCGTCCCCCCAGACGAGCGAACCAATCTCCTCATCTTCCAGCTGCTGGCCCTGGATGTAGAAGAAGTTGGGTTGCACCAGCCGCTGCGCCTCGAGGAACTGCTCCGGCGTTGGATTGACCAGCGTGTGCACCTGCACCGAAAAGCCCCCTTCCATGTGAGCTACCAAGCAAAATCCTTCCATCCCCAGGCGCAACAAAGTGAGGACGCTACTAACTGACCTCCAACCTCCCAGCCGAGCTGAGCTCAGGAAACGGATAGGACGGCCGCAGCCGCTTCGCCTCCGGCCCGGACCTCCCCGGCGGCGCACGCTGCTGCTGCTTATCGGCGTGCTTGCCGCAGAGCACCGCGAGTAGCACGCAGCTCCGTGACAAGCTCTGGATTTGCGACATGGCCGCAAGCAAAAACTCCCTGCAAAGACCCAGAAATTAACCTCGGGGGGCGTCACTTCATGGAACCCTGCAACCGCGAAACAGAAGGGGGGATCAGACCACAAATCCCCCGAAAAATCCGACCAAATCTGAGGCACGAACCGTCAAATCGGCGCGAGAAACATACCAGGAGGCGGATTCTGGCGGCCGAATCGGGGGCCGGCGGTGCGGGCGGGCGAAATCGAGAACGAGCGCCCCGGATCCGGACGGGGAGCGGCGGAGGGGGGAGGATTGGATTCGGGGGGGCGCAAAGGAGGATAACGAAAGAGTAAAGCGTGGGGGAGAAGACGAAGGCGAAGAGGGAGGAGCCCTAATGAGAATCGCGGAAATAGCTCCCTCTCTCTCACAGCGCAAAGGCAAATCCCACTCCTGGAACAATAAAAAAGAAGCGTACTAGTTGTGGTGGTGGGGAATTGGACGCGAGCCCAACCCAGCAGCAGCAGCCCCCGCCCATCCCGATCGAGCCCGCACGCCCGCCCGATGAACGGATGAATCCAAGGAACCTCCAAGAAAGAAAGAAAGAAAGAAAGAAAGAAGCCGACCAAACTGGGATGAGAATCACGCGGGGATTCGCGGATTAGGCAGCGGCAGCCTGATTAGCAGCAACCACCAACCCGGGGCTGCCTGCCAATAATAATTATCGCGGAGCCGCAAACAAAACAAACCGGAGGGGAGAACAGTAGGGGAGGGCGAGGCATCCCCCGTCAAAGATTGGATTTTGACGGCTCGGGCAGTGGGGACTTTTTCTTTCTCTATCCCTTCCCTTCCCTTCCCTTCCCTTTGGGATGCGATGGATGGATTATTTTGCGCTTTGCTCGCGCATCTAATCTGCCCGCGCTTCCTCCGTCGATGATGATGCTGCGGCCGCCTGGTGCGTTGATGTTGTTGTTGTTCTCTTGGCGCTTTTCGTTTTCTCTGCCGCTGCCTCCTCATTACTGCTCGGGGCGACGGAAAGGAAAAACAGAAAACTTAAAAGATTAGATTAGAATTAGACGGGATTTCGGGAATGGGATTGGGGGATTTCTTTTGTGTTTCCGGCTGCCCCGATCGGGTGGATGCTGCTGCTTTTTGTTTTGGTTTTGGTCTTGGCCTTGGTCTTGGTAGGGTAGAGGAAGTCGTAGTATGTATTTGATCGCCATCGGATCGGGGTGGAGTCTGTGCTGGAGGCGTGGTGCAGCGTACGATGGGACTCCCCTCCTCGGCTGCTGGCTGCGACGTTGGGTTCGTGCTTGCGTGGTTGTTCGTGGCGTGGGGAGGAGAGGACCCGTTTGATCCGTTTCGCCCAATGTCCGTCCCGGACGATGGAGCGAGCGGGCGGGCAGGCACGGCTCACGTGTGCTGCTCTGCTCTCTGTCTCTGCGCACTGTGGGTCCCATCATAGGAGAAGCTTGTGATTTGTCTCCTGCCACATATACATGGGGTGGGCCCACTAGCAGCCCATGTGCTCTTCTGGAGTTTTGCATGTCTTATCTTCTGCTTGTAGAAAACCAAGTCGATGATGCTGGTATGTTTGTCATCCTGCAATATAGACCGTCTGATATATATCTAATGGATAGAAAGCAAATTATGATAATTTTGCAAAACAATACTCGCACCTCTCTTCATATTTGCAGATAAGGTCTTTCCTCATTCATCCTTATCTCCCACAACCTTATTGTTGAGCAACTAAAAAAGAAAGCCTCTGGAACAATCTAGCATGGTGGCCGCTGACGGCGTCGTCCATCCACATGCCTCCGCTCAGTCCGACCACCAATCACCACCACGTCCCACTCCTCCTCACATTATCTCTCCTCTTTCTCGTCTCCCCCACTCCGCATAGTCTGAGGTGTTGGGACACGGACGGTGCCGTCGACGTGCTTGTGGAGGTCAGTGTCGGAGAGGATCTGCATCAATGGTGTACGTGCTGAGTTATATAAACATGCCGATGTCGTTAGTTTTTACACATGGAATTACTCCTGCATGGGTCAATCACAATAGATGTTTTGTAAAATAAATGCATCTTGGTGTCCGTGCAATGCACGGGCATCTTGCTAGTTCGTAAAAAAAATTGTGTGGATGTTGTAAAAAAATATCCAAATTTCGTTGGAAAAATTCTGCAAAAAACAAAATGCTTTGTCAGACAAAATATGATGTGGATATTAGTCACTTTGCGTCTCGTGTTTTTTTTTTTGGAATTCACATTGGCTATTACATTTTCTTTTTCTCTTTTGCATTTATGGTAGTTTGCAGATATGATTGCCAATTCGTAGTCAAATTCGAATATGCAGTGTGCTTGGTAGATATACTAAATTATTAACCCGTGAGTTTTCCTGAGGCACCGTTTGGACATAGACATTGGAGGGCTTGGTCGCATTGGTTCCAAATGTCAGGTATCCCAGGACATTGTATCGAGTTTCAAGGCCATTTTTGTTGTTTGGTTGCTTGCGTGAAACATTGGTAGTTTGAATCAAACGAGCACCATTCCCAACTTATGTTTGGATGTAAAAAAATTTGAATTGTGCATCATTGAATTCTTCTTCTTTTTCCTCTCCTGGTTATCCGCACTGCTCGGCTTTTCCCCTTAGTTGTTCACCCTCACCCCGTCACCCCTACGCCAACAGCAAAAAGTAGTGATGGTCGGCAGTGCCGAGAGGAGAAGTTTGGGAGTGGCGGCGGAGTCGAGCGAGATCGGTGGTATCGACTCCCGAAGGGAGTAGCGATAGTGATGACGCTTAGACAAAGCAGTTATTGCAGTTGTAGCGCGAAGAGGTCATGAGCTCTCCTCTTCCATGTGTTTCTCTCTCCCTTAGACTAGTCACAGTGAAGAGTAACTTACACTACTAACGTACACACTATCCTAGACTATGCTACTACCTTCATAGTGGGTACTAACATATGTGTAGTGTCATGCAAAGCTTCATTTATTAGGGGGAAAAGTCCAAAACAAATCTTGATCTTGTAGGCGCTAGCGAAATCGAACCCCAAAGTCCAAATCCCTGAAATCGTCACTCAACTCACTAATCCCGGTCTAATTTGGACCCTGACAGGGTTTGCAGTTAAAAAACGTGACGTGGCTGGGATTTTACTTAGTGGTGGGCCAGCGATGTAAGTGTTGACCGTTCTGCTTATAATCGTTGGGGAATTGGGGAACGAAATCAAATCGCGATTGGTTAGCGAGAGCGAGGGCAGAGGCGATTGGGGATTCCACGGCGGGAGCGGCGGCGTGATGTGGTCTTCGAGCTCTTCTGTGGTTCCTCCGCTCCTCCACTCGTCCTCCTAACCGGCCTCCGCTCGTCCTCCTCCCCGGCCGCCGCGACGTCGAGGAGCCCCACGGCGGCGGCGGAAGCGGGCATGGGGTAAGCGGGGCGGCGCAGGAGCGGGAAGCCGGAGGCCGCTGCAGCGGCCTGCGAGATGTCGGCGGCGACAACGGTGCTGAAGACGTAGAGGCCGAAGAGCAGGTGCACCGTGGCGCTGATGCCGAGCTCCACCAGGCCGAAGATGAACCTCGCCATCGTCCTGCCCTCTGGATTTGAGAGACGAGGTTTGGAAGCTGAAGGGAGAAGGCAATGACTGCAAATGCAACCATAGTTGGGAGTGCAATTTCTGAAGACGCAACCACAGTTGGGAGGGCAATTTCTGAAGATGCAACCACAGTCAAAACTGAGGAAGAAGAATGCAGAAGTAGTGACTTGAGAGCTTTGTGTATGCAGTGTATGCAATTTTATGTACTCATTGTATCCACTTTTATGCAGTGTTTGAACAAACCGTGGTTTGTACAATTTATTCTAAGTTGAATGTACGAAAATGCTTTTCATATCTGTCAATTGAGCAAAAAAATTGACATGACCATGGCAGAACATAACACATTTTTCAGCCATTTAATGGAGGTACACACCAAACATATAGCAAATTTGAGAGTACACACAGAATATATAGCAAATATGTCTGGCAATTATAAGTAGATATCATATGCAACATCAAATCCATGTTTGCAATAGATTACAAAAGCTGATGCCGTTGAAGGTTTGCGACATTACATAGCCTTAATGTTTGCATAATACTTGGCACCATTACACATTGCCACTAGCAGTAAAGAACTTGAAGCTAGGAAGGGATGATGCAGGTGCTCTCTTTGTCTTCTTTGTTGTGTCACCATGTGTCCAAGCAGATGTTCCAGCTGCTGTCCTTCTTGGAGGCTTAAATGTGGATGCTCCAGCAGATGTTCCAGCTGCTATCTTCTTGGACCTTGCTGGTGCAGTTGGCGGTGCATTTGATCTTGATGCTGCAGTTTGGGCTGCTTTTGACCTTGCTGTTGCAGTTGGTGCTGCATTTGACCTTGCTGCTGAAGTTGGTGGTGCAGTTGGTGTTGCATGTTGTGTTGATGATTCACCAGGTTGCTACAAGCACAAAAATGAAGATATATTAAACTCCAGATAAATTAAATTCGAGATAAATCACTAGAAATCATGTAAATTCAGTAGAGACATGCTAAATTACATCTGATGCCTTCCTTTTTTTGTAGTCTTCACAAGGTGCGCATTCTTCTTCTTGCCTCTGTCTGGGTTTTTCTTGCAGCCTCCCTTGTTGTGGCCAGTGTTATGGCACAATGAGCAAGTAATTATAGTGCCATGCTTGCTCATTTTGTTGGTAGGCTTCGGTTTTTCAGTTTCTTCCCTCTTCCTGGCATTTTCCTTTGGCCTGCCTGGCATTCGCACATAACCTGGAGCTTGAGGCCTAGGCTTGGCAGAAATTTGGCCACAGTTCATCACCTTCTACAGGCTCTAGACAATGCTCATATATGCTGTTGAAGGTATCAACTGAGTAACAAGGATCAATATAATCTTCCACAAGTTTCTTACACTTGTAGATAGCAGTAGCTGCATGAGAACATGGCAGACGTGCTAACTGAAAATAACCACATGAGCATGTCCTATTTTCAAAGCTCAGTGTGTACTGCCTTCTCCCAGTTAAAAGCTTCACTT